TGGGTAACTGCTACGAGGTCTGTAGGTGCCTATAAATACCTTTTGAGGAGGGATAAACACATAAGCAGATTTCATTTATGTAAGAGTCGTGGTGGGAGAGACTTAGGGAAAGGTTGAGCAGTTCTGTTTTGGCTACTTTCTAATAGAACACATTTGAATAAAGAGTCGTTTGTTCATTCATTCCGTAAAGATAGATTAAGCCCCTACATGCTGTTCAGCTGAGAACAATAAAAGCAATCTTTTGCCCGTTTTCTTTGCCATTAAGAAATTTGAGGCTGTCATGTAAGATGTCTTAGCACTGACATTTTTCCCTGTCAGAACTTGCTGTGGGTCCTCTGGGGGAATAATTACTGGGGAGAAGAGCAAAAGGAGAGGAACAAAAAGAGTTGGAGACACAAGGGCTTAGCCAGCAAATGGTGAAAGGTAGTTGATTCACTTCTGTTACAGTTTAAGGAAGAGACTTAGCTATAAACCTTCCGCTTCCTGGTTTACAAAGGAAATGCAGTGATCCCCCTGACTGCAGGAAATAAATGGGGCAAAACTCCAGAGGGGACCGGCACCTCTTTTAGCAAATGGCGCCTCCAGGAGCGAGCTGGAGCAAAGAACAAAAATGGTGCTTGTTGCTCAGTGTCAGACACAGTGACTCAGACGGACGGGCATCTAGCAGAATTTGTTAGAAAAGACGGGCGCCTGAGACCGAGTGGCTTGTCTCCTGCTGCCCAGGGGACTTCTCCCAAAACTTCTCCTGGCTCTTTGGAGCCAGTCTGTCCTGGGCTTTCCTACTCCCAGCACTCTTTTTTCAGCCTTTCTTTGGGCCTTTGGCCTCAATTAGCCCTTCAAACGCCTTTCCTTCTTGGGGTCCAGACCTTGTTTTGTCTTTCTCATTCTCCAGTCTCCCATCTGCTCCCCTGACCTCAGCTGCCCCCTAGGCCCAGACCACAGGCCTGAGCTCAGGGACCGAGTGTCCACCTGCTTGGTGGGCGCCCCCCACCGCCAAGCACCTCACACTATTGTCCAACCTGGAGCACATCAGCTTCCTTCACCAGATCCTTCCCCCTCCCGTCCCCAGTGTGAGGGCACTTCGCTGTCCCAGGAGGGACCTCAGAGTTATTCTGGATTCTCCTTCTCATCTCCCACATCCCTCAGTCCTGCAGCCACCCTTCCGGTACCTCTTACCCATCTGTCTTCTCCACACTGCTCTCGGGGAGGCTAACTCAGCCTTGCCTTTTCCAGCTGTTCGAGGCTGGTGCCTTCCTTGGCTCGTAGCCCTTGCGCCGGTTCTTTTACTTATAAGGAAGGTGCCTCCTCCTCTCCCTTGTAATTGTGTTGGGCCCACCCCAGATAATCCAGGATAACAGCCCCTTCTCAGGATCCTTCACTTAATCCCGTCTGCAGAGTCCCTTTTGCCATGTAAGGTAACCTATTCACAGATTCTGGGAGTGAGGACGGGAATATCTTGGGAGGGTCATTATTCTGTCTACTGCTGCAGCCTTTTTCAGAAATCAGGTGCTGAAAAGCCAAGGTTTTAAAACAACCAGTTAAGAGGTGTTTGGATTTCTGTTCTGAACAGTGATGAGATTAACTCAGCCATATATTTCATTGCACACAAAGGAAGTTGTCCGAACTGTCTGCGCTCCAGGTCAGAGGGAGGTCTTGCAAATCCCCGTGTTTGAGGCTTTCTGCTCTTTTAGGGTGACTTGGGATATGTTTCATGGGAGTAAAACAGGAGAGACATGCAGATCTCCTGACCCCCGCAGTGAGAAGAGGAAGGCACTTGTTTTCTCCTGGGAGGTTAGTTCCCGGCAGATTTCTGCTTCCCCGATCTGTTAGCCTGGTACCTGGGAGCGAACGGGAAAAGACAAAGCTGTTTAAAAAAAAAAGTGTCAGAATCCCCCAAACAGAGCCTGAGGCTGCTGAGCTGCCCTCTTGAGATGTGGATTCCAGATGGTTGCCTTAGGCATTAATCACTTTCTCCTGAGCCAGAAGAAAATGAAGATTAATAATTTTTAAAAATTACTGCTAAGGGGTTGCATCTGAAAGAGCAGAGGGCACAGAGCTGAAGTTTGATGGGAGCTGATTATTGATCAGGGCCTGTTTGGTCCTTCGTGATGGTGACCTTGCACTTGCTACACTTGTAAGGCCGACCAGCTGTCACGGAGAGCAGGATGGATCTTGGAAGCTTACATCATAGGATATCAGAGCCAGAAAGGGACCTTGGAAATCATGTTCCATCACTTAGAGATGAGGTTTGACTCCATGCCCAATGTTGTACAGCTCAGTGGAGTCCGGAATGGGACTAGCAATTGGGTCGCCTGGATCCTGATCCGTTGCCCTCTAGCTGTCCCTGACTCTCTCTGAGTCTCAGAGAGGACAGATGGAGGTAAGATCTCTACAGAAACTACTAAAGGTAGGGCGTAATGAGCTGTAATCCTTTGTGGTGCAGAATACAGATCCTGTCGGCATTCAGACACAAGCAAGGCGCTGGGGGCCAGAGGGCCAGGCAGGCTTTTGAGCTGGGCCGTACAGAGTAGGTGGAGTAGTGAGCTCCAGACGGTACAGGGAGGCCAGCGGTCACCACGCCAGGCAAGGGGAGGTACCGTGAGCGGAGGTGGAGCCCCAGCTTTCTGGAGCAGAGGGGAGAGCTCCTTAATTGGAGTAAGGATGCTGGAGGAGTTGGTGGGACAAATTTTGGGACTCCAGAAATCCAGACAAAGGTCTTTGGACTTTCTGTGGGTGACCCCAGAACTTCAAAGAGATTTGGCCTCAGGAAATGAGGACTGAACGTGGAATTTTGAAGAGGAAGAGTTGTGCGTGTCGAGACACTGCATATATTACTGTAGGAACCATCCAGAAAAGAGAAGTAGCCAGAAGGAGGGGGGCCAAAAACAAGACTGCGTGCCCTTGAGCATGTCTCCAAAAGTGATGCCTTCTCGTCGTTTCCTTTTTTTTTTTTTTTTTTTTTTTTCAGTGCATGGGCCTCTCACTGTTGTGGCCTCTCCCGTTGCGGAGCACAGGCTCCGGACGCACAGGCTCAGCAGCCATGGCTCACGGGCCCAGCCGCTCCGCGGCATGTGGGATCTTCCCGGACCGGGGCACGAACCCGCATCCCCTGCATCGGCAGGCGGACTCTCAACCACTGCGCCACCAGGGAAGCCCTCGTCGTTTCCTTTTTGAAGCAATATGCTGTCTCGATGGGGGTTGAGACTAGGATGGAAAGGCCTCAGGAGCACAGTGTGGAAAAGGGCTCTGCTCACCCCCAAAGTCTGGGCCCAGCTCCTCACCCAGAACCCCGCCCTCAGCCCACTGTCACGGCACCCGTTCACACCTCTGACCACTAGCCGGCTTTCCCGCCGGGAAACGGGGGACGTGCTGCAGATCCCTATGCTTGAGAGAGGGGGCGCTCCGTACCAATTATGGCCGGGCCCAGACTGGGTGTTGGGAATGGATAAGGCTCAAATCGTCTTCACGGAGCTTCGAGGTGTTGTGGGGAAGACAGAACTCATGAGCAGATAGATGCCCATGGTACCCAGTGGTGAGTGCTGTGCGTACGGGGAACACGGCAGCACCCGGCAGAGTACTCACCCAGCTTCAGCTGCGTCTTCACCCGAGGCCGGGGCATGGAGACTGTGTGAGCAAAGGCAGGGAGGTGAGACCCACCTAGGGTGCCTGAGTGGTAGCAGGGCTGGCAAGGAAGGGGTTGGCTTCAAGACACTGTCGGAGGTAAAATCGGCTGAACACGGGGGTTGGGTGTGGAGTGCCGGGACCGGCGGTGGGAGCATCAGGAAGTCCCCCCGGTGCTAGCATGGAGGACACCAACTGCCGTGGAACGTGAGGGCACAGGGGAAGGTGGAGCAGAGCAGACCCGAGGGCAGGTGTGCACAGGCGGAGGTTCGAGTGCCTGTGGGTCAAGATGCCCCTGGCCTGGAGCCGCTACGGGATGGCCTGGGGCACAGCAAGGCCACAGGGAAGGCTTTCTGGCCCGGCCTTCGCAGTGAACAGTTGCCTCCATTGGATAGACTGCTGTTCCTTCCCAAAGAAGCCAAGTCTGTGTTAGGGAAAAATCTATCCCAGTCTGTGAGAACACCACCAGCTCTTACCTTAAGAGAAGTAATTAATAAATTCATCCATGGTTATAGCTACGGACAGGGATCCTGGCTTAGCAACACGTGCAGAGAAAATCACTGTGCCCCCTTACCAGATGGGTCAATCTGAGCATCTCTTTTTCATAAATACTCTGATCTTTTAAACCACTGTCCTCAGTAACAGCTGAGAAATTGAGCTGTGTGGTGTTGCTCTCTTGAAGCCGGGTCGTGTCACGGGCACAGCACCCTTCCCATCAGTAAAGCAGATGCTGAAATCCGGCACCCGCGGCACGCTCACCTCGGCGTCTAGCTGACGGCATACAGGGTGATGCTGCCGCCGTCGCCCCCGGCCCTGGACTGAGAGGTGTGTTTAGCAGAATCAAGTGCCTGTGACCGGACTTCAGTCTGTGGCGTCTCTTTGTGTCCCCGTGACTGTCCGTCAACTTACTCCGCAGCTGCGGATCAGATCCGGTCTCTGGGCACACATTTACACATCAGAGCCTGTTGTTTTGCTTCTGCTACACACGACTGTAGCCTCACTCATGCAGATTCATGCTCCTCTCAAGCCTGTCTTCTGTCTTGTGATCATAATGTTTATAACCATGATATTTGCAGTTACTCTAGGCAGAAGGTTCCTGTAAAGTTCGGTTTTCATTAAGCGTTGTTCATGAAGGTTCCAGGAGCTCCACAGGCAGGGTCCGGGGAACACTGTAGTTATTTTACTCAGAAATGAATTCCTAGGATCCATACAACTGTTCCCCTGTTTGAGGTGGCTGTTGATGTTTGTTTATTTTTTTAACCACTGCGTACTGTGTTTACCTCTGACGTGCTGGCTGCTCACTCAGTTAACATTCATCACTAGAATGTGTGTTGTGAAGGTTCCTCATTCTAATGTACCGATAAACTTTGTTTGCACAGAGATTTTGCTTATGTAGCAAGAGACAAAGACACAAGAATTTTGAAATGTCATGTATTTCGATGTGACACACCAGCAAAAGCCATTGCCACAAGTCTCCACGAAATCTGTTCCAAGGTAAGGTGGGTCAGGGCACAGGGGTCCGCCCTGCTCCTTTTTCCCCCGCCCGCCACTCAGCAGGGAAGGGCGTGTGGAAGGACGGGGGAGTCGGCACATTGACCTGCAGGTCGAGCTGCAGGGGCAGCAGGCCGACCGCCAGCCCAGCCAGCGTGGTTAGTGCTCTTTCTGCGTGTCAGGCGTCGTGCTAAATGGTACTCCACCTACAAAAGGAGTACGGCCTTGGTGCCTCCCACAGTCCAGGGGGGTCTAATAGGTGGACAGCGGTGTGGCGGAGGAGCTGTGTATCCCGAGCTCAGCTGGAAAGCGGGGGCAGGGAGTCAGGGCAGCTTTCCCAGGGCGGGGGCCATCTGACCTGAGCCTGGACCCGGGAAGAAGGGAGCGGGGTACGAAACCAGCAGGTGTGTCTGTGGAAGTGCAGGCGGCCGGGGGTTGCCGTGAACACGTGCTGACGTCACAAGGCACACAGCGGCGAGGCAGGGCCGTGGTCACAGCCTCAGAGTCGCCACCTTACGCACCGCCCCCCCCCCCCCCCCCCCCCCCCCCCCCGCCCGCAGAGCCCATGCCTACACGCTCGCCCCGCCCTCTGCCCGGCCCTTGTACTTGTCAGGACACGGCTGTGTGATGCAGCGGCTCTGGCTGCTGCAGAGCCCTCCCTTGTGTGGACCTCCGTGTGTTTACTTGAGATGTGTGGCCTGTAGCAGAGGAGAGAGGTTCCTGGTTTGTCTCTTTGCTGGGCAGCTTTTGCGATTTGGAGGCGGTTGGAGCTGCGCGCTGTGCCTGGCACGTGCAGAGGGCTGGACACACGTGTCTGTCGTCCAGCCTTCCTGCTCCTGGCTTCCTCCTTTGTCTAGAGTGCCCCACCCCGTCGCTTCAGCCACTTTCGGGTCTCGCGGCGACCAGGCTCCTAACCATTTTCTCCTGGCCACGCTCTGCTTGGTTCCCCCGAATGAACCAGTGTTCCACAAGGGAGTCGACAGAGAACGGACCGTGGCCACAGTGTCCTTTGACCTCCAGGGATACATAGTTAATGTTCTCAGCAATCCCATTACCTGCTGGCCTGTGTTCCAGTAGTGGGAGCCAGGTCTCCAGGACGCTGTCCCCAACTTCCTTCAGCCAGGCCTTTCCACGCCCCAGACTTACTGCTTGAATCTAAACACAGGACTTTGCTGCCCCCTGTGTTAATGTCACCTTTCCGGTTCCGGGCTGGCATCGTTACCCAGCCTCACTCCCACAGGTCCTCCCGAGCTCGCCAGGCCCAGGTCACGGCCACCTCCACAGCCCAGCCTGGCCTCCGCAGCAGGAGCGGAGCAGCTGTAAGCCACAGTTCCCAAGGGAAGGGTAGGGATGGGAGCTGCCCCGGCCCCAGAATAGCGCAGCAGTCTGCCGCTCTGACCGAATGACCGGGACCTGCAGGGTGGGTGCTGGTCCGGAGACCCCGCGTCCAGCCCAGCCCGTGTGCACGTTCCTGCACGGGTGGCACTGGGGCAGCTGCTTCTTGTGCAGCCCTGAAGCACGCTGCACTGCCCGGGTTTCGTTTCCTCATTCGTTCACGCAGCAAGTGTAACCGAATGCTGCTTATGTGCCAGGCACTGTCCTGAGGAGACAGCAGAGACCAAAAGAGAAAAAAAATCCTTGCCCTTGTGGAGCTTATATGCTAGCGTAAAGCCCTCAGAACACAGCCTGGCCCAGAGTCAGTGCTCAGTGAAGCTTGGATTTTACCGTCAGCAGCCCTCCTCCCCGCTGACCCAGGTGCAGATCTGGAGACGGGCAGAGTGGAGCTCCGGGGGAAATAACTTGTTCCACTTGGGATGGAAAGCTCAGGCAGGGGATGAAGGAGTGAGTTGCTCTTGCGGTCATTGAGGGTGGCTTCTTTGAGTCCCTAAACCCACAGCACTGTGAACAGGGGTGCGAAGTGATGACTGTCAAGTGAAGGAGATGTTAGTGCCCCCAACAGAGGAGAGGCACTTAGAAAGACGGCTGACAGATTTAAACAGTGTGACCATAACACCAACAGCAATAGCAGCTAATATTTCTGAGTGCTTGTATTTACTGTCAGGACTGAAATTATTTTATTATTAGGGACATAAATATTATCATCCACATGTGCAGTGGAGGAAACGGGACAAGAGGGCAGGTGACTGGCTCAAGGCCACTTACCACTAGTAAGTGGCGGGCGTGGGATTTGAACCCAGGTACTCTGTCCCCAGAGCCCTGAAAAGAGTCCCTGAAAGTGGCCACGTGGAAGCAGCAGGGGGAGTCCGTTGCCCTGTGTTCCACCGACCGCTGTGGGCCAGGAGGTGTACGTGTGACCGGGGGGGGGGGGTCGTGCGGTTTGTTGTGGTAGAGGTGGGAGCCTGGTAAATGAAAGAATGAATTCCAAACAATCGGGAGACTGTTAGTTACTCTGAGGAACAGTCATTCACTATTCTCCCCAGAGAAAATGGGCACAGTTCTCAAAACGTGCGGCTCCGAGATGGGGGTGAGGAGTCAGGCAGCAGACTGAAGCCAGTTTAACTTGGAAGTGAAGTCAGCGCAGACACTCCACTGGCTGGAACAGCTGAGGACACGGGGTCTGTAACCGTGAGCCAAAGCTGTGTTTTCTCTCCTTCAGATCATGGCCGAACGGAAGAACGCCAAAGCCCTGGCCTGCAGCTCCCTGCAGGAAAGGGCCCACGTGAACCTCGACGTGCCCCTGCAAGGTAGGTCGGCGCCCCTGCTCCTTTGCCTGGCGCTCTCTGCCCAGGTCACAAAGCGCAGGGTCTCGGACGGCTCCCTGGTGTATCTAGTCTCCCTCAGAACCGAGCTCGACTCAGCAGACCCGGGCCGAGCCCGCACTCGGGACCTCGGGCGCAGCTTAGAGCTGATTTTGTGTCAACAGGGTTAGGCATCAAGGGCCAGGATGAGTTTTATTGTTGTTGGACAAGATTAAAGAAAAGTATCTTTAGTGCTTTTGTAATTCATGTACAGCCTGGGGTAAGGGTCAGCTAGTTTAAAAATATGTGGGTTGCTATTTTGGGGAGCTCAGTTTAGTCATTTTTCCTGTCTCTGATTTCGCCCTCTGTGATTAAATTTCCTCAGGGCATCAACCTCCCCTAATAAATAGAGCACCCAAAGCTGCTACTTAGCTCACATCCAAGAGAGAGTCACAGCTTAACACACAGATTCCAGTTCCTGCTTTCAAATGCTTTTCTACCTAGAAATGAAAGGTGAATGGGATTTTGATTGACAGCCCCAGTGTCTGGTAGAAGAAACGGCTGTTCTTATAGCATGATTGGCACACTGACCTCTAGAAACACAGGACGTTATGTGTCTGTTAGAACATTGAGAAAAATGTGTTGCTTTACTCCCTGTAGTAGATTTTCCAACACCAAAGACTGAGCTGGTCCAGGAGTTCCACGTGCAGTACTTGGGCATGCTACCTGTGGACAAACCAGTCGGTATGTGAAACGTGCATCATCTTTCCACTTTGCAAGCGTTTGGGAGCTCATGAGAGATGTTCACCCTCCCATGGGGGTGGGGTCTGCTGTTGCACTCCTTGCCTTGTCTCGAATCGGACCCTCACACTGTCACCAGCCGGAGCGCACAGACAGTCCTGATCAAAAGATCAGTACAGGACAGGCTAAGCTCCTCAGATGCATGGTCCCAGAATACAGGGACTTGAACAAAGCGGACCTGATTTCTCATTCACTCACAGTCCAGAGCTGCATGAGCCAGGGCTGTGGAAGGGCCCTGCCCCCAGAGATGGAAGCCTCGGTCCTGAACTGAGGCTTCCATCTCTGGGGCCAGGGTGCCTGCTTCAGTCCTTGTCACGTGCTGGGCGGGGAAAGGGGGCTGAAGGAACCCTCCTGCTTTCCTGTTAAGGTGTGATCCAAAAGTGCACACAGCAGTCAGCAGTCAGCTCACATCTCAGGGGCAGACTTTAGTTGCTTAGCCATACCAGGCTGGAAGGAGGCTGAGAGAGGTAGCCTTTTCCTGGGTTAAAAAACGGCTGTGGGAAAATCAGAACCCTCACATACTGCTGGGGCGAATGTAAAATGGTGCAGCTGCCCTAGAAAACAGTCTGGCAGTTCCTCAAAAGTTAAATAGAGAGTTACCATTTGATCCAGCAGTTCTGCTCTTGGGCTTTGTATCCAAGTGAAACGAAAACATGTGTGCACACAAAACCTCGTACACGAATGTTCACAGCAGCATCATTCATAATAGTCAAAAAGCAGAAACAACCCAAATGTCCATCAGCTGACGAATGGATAAATAAAATACACTTCCATACAGTGGTACTTCATTTGGCAATAAAAAGGAATGAAGTATTAGACATACTGCAACATGGCTGAACCTTGAAAACATGATGCTGAATGAAAGAAGCCAGTCACAAAGGACCGTATCCTGTACGATTCCATTTATATGAGTGGAGTAGGCAGATCTCTAGAGATAGGGCTGGGTGGAAATGGAGGGTGACTTCTGAAAGGTACGGGGTTTCTTTCTGGGGTGATGAAAATGTTCTAAACCTGATGGTGGTGATGGTCGCACACCTCTGAATATACTAAAAACCGTTTGAGTTTTGCACTGTGAGTAAATTGTATGGTATGTGAACTATATCTCAGTAACGTTCTCCCACCCACCCACCACCAAAAGCAGCTGTGGGAACACCCAGCCAAAGAGCCCCATCGAATAGCACATGCTATTCGTGTCCAGGGGTCGCCCAAACTTGGCCTTATTTAAGTGACAAAGTACAATGAAAGGTGATCAGGGTAATCTGGCAGATGCTGGCTTCTGTTGGGTCCCCTTTTTCAAGGTTCCTTGCTTAGGAAAAGGTAGCATTTGAATACTGTTTATACACTCGGAGCTGGGGAATCTTTGTAGAGAGCGGGGGAGGGAGAGTGATGTCCTGGTTAGACAGGACATCACACACTGCTTCTCTGGAGGTTCTCATGACCCTTCTTTCTGTTGAAAAAGCTGGCATTTCTTTTCTTTTGAGCAATGAAATGCTCAAGTGAAATGTCTTATCTGGGGCTACAAAAAAAAAAAAAAAAAGACCAGTCTGGGCATAGGTGTTACCGGGTGATTTGGGCCCACGTTTGTGATTCAGAAATAGCTTTAGGACCTTTTTCAGTTTTCCCTTCCATCCACAGGAATGGATACCCTGAACAATGCCATAGAAAGTCTTATGACCTCGTCCAGCAAGGAGGACTGGCCTTCGGTGAACATGAATGTGGCCGATGCTACTGTGACTGTCATCAGTGAGAAGGTGAGAAGGGTGGCAGATGGAGTTGGCCTGTCGAATACAGTGAGGTTTCGGATACAATAAGCTTCCATGAAACTTAGGCGCGTGCCAAGGCTTGGCCTCTGGGGAGTTGTGCTTGCTTGTGATTAAAAGAGCCTACATTAAAAAAAGAGAGAGAGACATTTTGCCCTTTGTGCCTAGATCTCTGCACACCTCAGAGGCTTCTATTCTGGCATTCCTCATTCTTCCTTCCTACGAAGCCTGGGAGGTTGGAATCATTTGCTAGAGGTGACTGTGTGATACTAGCAGTAACTCACTAATGGGGCTTGGTTTTCTGGCCACTCTCCAGGCTCCGGTATTGACTGGGCTGTTATCTGGGCTTGGGACACAGGAGATGCTTCTGTGGTGGAAGGTCCTGTGGTAGCAGGGACCACTGGTCATCTGGAGAGAGGCCAGCATTAGCCTCAACACAAATTATCTCAACTTTGTGGTTGAGGAAACTGAGGCACAGAGAGGTTAAGTAACTGCCCCCAGGCACACAGCGAGAAGTAGCAGGATCAGTTTTCCATTCTGCCTCTGTGAGGCATCTGTCATGGAAAGACCGTAAGTCCTTGGTCTACTCTCGCTTCTGTCCACTAGCAGCTCACCTTCAAGCCCAATTCAATTTCTAAAGAGGAGTGAGATGCTCACTGACCCTGCCTGCCACTCCAGCCTGTGCCGCTGGATTTTCTTCAAGTCTGCAAACATGTGGTGCTTCTTCCTACCTCAGCACCTTTGCAAGTGCGCTGCTCCTTCTGTGCTCTACCCCTTTGCCTTCCCAGCCCCTACGTAGATCTCAATGTAAACGTCATTTCTCCCAACAAAACTTCCCAGCCTCTAAGACCAGCTTAGCTTGCCTGTTAATCAGTCCCACAGCACCTGAGTGAATATTTAATAAGTCAAGATGTTAGTGAGCCAGAAGTCAGCATTTTTCTGGATGTATTTACTAATTTTCAAAAATTGCACATGGCTGCTGCAAAGGATGTGGTGTTCATAAGAATGAATTACAAACACTTCTTAACTCGGCACCATATGGATACCAGTCTGTGAAAAAGGGGAAAAAAAAAAAAAGTATTTGGCAACTTTTTGTTTTACACAGTTTTAGATAGAAATCTGATTCAATGTGCTGTTTAGTTGGGGAAGAAGACCTGGATAGAAAGAGAGCCCATGGCTCCTTTCCTCTTGGTGCTCTGGGGTTTCTGGTGGGTTTGCCTGGGCAAATGGGTTCTGAGCCACCGTACGGGCAATACGGAAAAAGTATACATGACATTGTTCCTGCCCACAGTGAAGCCACGGGCTTGGAGTCGAGCAGACAGAGTCCGGAACACACATACCCAGTCGCAGTGTGGTTCAGAGCAGATTAAATGCCGGAACGAGGCACCCACAGCAGTGAGGCCTCTCCAGACACATTTAGAAACTTGCCTTTCTAGAAAAATACAGTCCTGTCTAAATTCAGTCTGGCTGTATATTTTTAGACACCATTTCCTCTGTGCAGCCACTCCAAGCGGATTCTGACTTAAGGTCCGAACGTGTCTGTGACTTTGGCCAGAGCTGCTGAACGGCGTCTCTTGCAGAATGAAGAGGAGATCCTGGTGGAGTGTCGGGTGCGATTCCTGTCCTTCATGGGCGTCGGGAAGGATGTGCATACGTTTGCCTTCATCATGGACACTGGGAACCAGCACTTTGAGTGCCATGTTTTCTGGTGCGAGCCTAATGCCGGTAACGTGTCCGAGGCAGTGCAGGCTGCCTGCATGGTGAGTGAGCCCGCTGCAGGGGTTCGACCCTCGGGCCCCTGCTTTTGTTTAATATGCCGTAAATTAGAGCAGAGTTACTGACTTAAAAGAAGCCAAGTCTGATCTCTAACGTAATGCCTTGCTGTGTGACACCCTCACTCCTGCGGACAGAATCAATCGTGACAAGCACTTTGCCGTCTTAAGAGGCCAGGACACCTGAAAGAAGCAGGACTGGATGGAGCCAGGTTCTTCTGTAGAGACTCCAGGAACACTGAAAGCAATGATCTTCAAAACCACGGATTTGAGGCCTCTTAGTTCTTGATCCCTAAGTAATTTCAGTATGTGATCAGGAGATGCTGGTCATGCGTGAGTTGGTACTTGGAACCAACTCAATAATTCTTTAAAAATTCAGTGTATTGAATGGTTTTTATTTTAGATAGTTGGTCTAAGTGCATTGTTCTTACATACTTTGTTTATATCTATGAACTGTATTCTTACCACAGCCCTGTTAAGTAGTTCTCTTTTATTTATAACAAAATAGAGGCTCAGAGGAAAGGACAGGCCCCAGGGCAGAGCTGCTAAGTGACAGAGCCTGCGTTCACCCCCGAGCCTCCGGGTAATAAAGCCAGTGCTCTTTGTACCACATATATGACTTCAAACAAACAGAAACACCTTGTCATTCATTCTGCAAATATCCTTTGAGCTCCTGTCATTCCAGCACTGGGAAAGTTCTAGTAAGAAGGAGGGAACCGTTTGAATGTAGACATCCAAGCCTGGGCTGCATGGTGTATTCCAGCAACAGGAGGTAGGGTTGCTGGAGCCAAGTGGGAGGAGGCGAGGTCCATGTCCATGAAGGGCCTGTGACCTCATGCCAAGGTGTGACCTTCAGCAGAGATTGTTAAGCAGGAGAGTGTGTAGACCACGTTAGGCTTTAAGGCATACTCCAAAAGAGAGAGGAGAAAACAAAGTGGAGGTGGGTTGAAAGGATGGGGCAGAGGTGGGGAGATGACCAGGAGGCCAGTTTACTGGTCCTTGGGAGAGTTGCATCTAAACCAGGAGTGGCAGTGGGGAAAAGACAGGAGCAGGTGATGGAGAAACACCTGGCTGGCAATGAGGAATGCTGAATTTGAAGCACCTGCTCTTCATTTAACTCAATCCACCATTTGTAGGCTGGACTCTGGGAAGTTCAAGTAGGAATAAGACACGATCCTTGCATTACGGAGTTTAGGCCTATGGGGGAGACGGGTAAACCAGAATTCTGTTATGGTGTGGAAAGTGCTCTAAGTGAAAGTGTAAGACTGCACTGGATGGAGGAGTGACTGGGAGGAAGAAGGTGGCCCTGAAAGCGGGTCGCTCACCAGGTCTGTGGTGAAGGAGTAGCCGGAAGCACGCCATTGAGATACTTGCTCGTTTGTTGGGGGTTTGGGGAGATCCTCACAGTTTTGAGGCTGAGGGAGATAAGCCAGTAAAGCCAGATTGAAATAGGGGTCATATTTGTAGTTGGGCCAAGGTCTTGGTGATAGATGAAGGGCCTGGGGTTGGGTTAGAGTGCTGCTTGGGTTAGAGTAACTTTGAGACCGGCCAGAAGATGCCCGGAGTCCAGGAACAGGTGGAGCTGAGGGCGGTGGAGGGCGTCCTCTGTTTCTTTACAGACAGTACACTGCTAGTTAACCAAGAGGGAAAAGGACGAGGTGGGCGGATGGCAGAGGCAAAGGTGGGGGACGAGAAGAGAGCCAATTCGCTTTTATTTTAAAAGGCACCTTTGAAACAGAGAGGGGAGGAGGGGGGGGAGGGGAAGGGAAGACCTGTGTTGTGCACTTATCATCTGGCTTCGTTCTCGCCACAGTCCTGTGTTAGAGTGCAGTTTCCCCTCAGGTGCTGCGGGGCCAGGATTCTAACTCAAGTCCACCTGCATATAAAGGACCGGGGCTGGGTGGAGGGGAGCAGCGCGGTGAAGCAGTCAAGATGAACCTCCTGACCAGGCGTAGGGATTTGAGATGGGATGAAGGGACTGTGTGAAGAAAACAGAAAATGGGAGAGTCCAGCCAAGCAAAAATCGATGGTGACTGTTGAGGTATTTTGTGAAATTGTAAAGGATCGTTAACAGATGGTTTTAGTCAAAATGAATGGCTTTCAGCCTTAATTATACATTTTAAATGCTGATGGCAATTAAATAATTAGCTTTATCACTGGTTACAGTTTGTTCTGATTGCCAGGCTCATTTTCTCTCCTCTAGAAACAATTTCTACTCATTTGTTTACTATTTTAATTGTATTAGGGCCACCAGCTTAAGTGACTCAGCCAATCCACCATAAGACATACCAGTAAAATCAAACCTTTCTTTACACTCTGTATCCAGCATTTCTAACTGGGTGGCCTTCCTCTTGATTCAAATCTGCATGATTCTCCATCTGAAATATTTATGCATCAATTTATACAATCTGAAATATCTCTGGCATTAACATTCTGAATCTACTGAATTTTTAGGCATATTTTGCAGCTGAGTGGTATAGGCCCAGCTGAAACTATTTTGATGAAATTTAGAGGGAGATGGAGAGGGGTCCGCTTAATGAAATTCATCAGGCACAATTCTGATTTGCACTGGATATAACGTAACTAACATCAGAAACTCCGAGTCCAGTATACCATGCTGCGGTACCTGCCCATTATAAAACTGTGTTTGGAAGTGCGTAGTTTTGATTGTGATGCAGACCTAGAAACATACTTTACACACAGGAGACGTGATAAATCGTTTTTCATATGATTGGGTTGAAATGGGCTAATTTTTTGGCCTGTGAGCTGTGACAGCACATTGTGATAAGAGTCTTGCTGTACGACAGTTCATGCTTTTCACAGGGAAACATCAGCCTGTTTCACAGTTGTTCTAAGGAACCTATTAATAGTTAAGTAGGTTTTTGAAAATCAGTTTAAAGTGAAGTGCTTGGATTTTTTAAGTGCTTGGATTAGAAAAAAAGCATTTGATACATTTTAACCTTTTAATCTAATTTTGAAGAATTACTTATCTTTGCATTGATACAAAAGCAGGTGGATTGTGACTTTGTTTCTGAAGGATGGAAACTGTCCCTGGTGCCAGTGCTAATGGATTTTTAAAAATTAAATCTATTAAGATTTAGACTTGTATATAAAATCCTGAAATCTTAATAAATTTTTTAAAATGAAAGCAGGATGGGAACAAACATTTCTGAATGCCTTCTGTGTTGCTAGGCCTGTTTGAGGCATTCTGCAGGTATTCCTTAATCATAACACTGTCTTTTAAGGTCGCCATTCTTCAGCCATTTTACAAATGAAGAAACTGAGGCTCAGAGAGATTTAATAACTTGCCTGGGGCCATACGGTTCACAAGTGGTAGAGCCAGATTCAAACCCTGCCCTTTCTACCATGCTGACCCTCACTGGGTTAGCCATAAACACCTACTTCATTACCTGTCTGAGGAAAAAGCTAATAATCTCTCTCCCAATCCTTTTTCTCTTCGTTAGCTCCTTGACTATGAGGTATATTCATCGCAGCCTAACAATATAAAGAACTTCAAAAGAATTTAAAACACTCCACATTAAGGAAAAAAAATAATAAACTCTTGGATTCATGTTTAGGAGCTAGGTCGTTAACCTTTGGGAGTTAAATATATTTATGAACTAAAGGGATGATACATTATTAACGACCATACAACTTTCTAATTTCAGTTACGATACCAGAAGTGCCTGGTAGCCAGGCCGCCTTCACAGAAAGTTCGACCACCTCCTCCGCCAGCAGACTCTGTGACCAGGAGAGTCACAACCAATGTAAAACGAGGGGTCTTATCCCTCATTGACACTTTGAAACAGAAACGCCCTGTCACAGAAGCGCCGTAGCTGCATATGTGAAAGGATCCTGTAACATTTACTGAAGATGGAATAGCTACACTAAAGAAGAGGAGCTGATCTCTGGCCTTCCATTCAGTTGCTGATGCTTTGTCTTCAGAGATTAATAACTTAACCAAACAGTGTTAGACAAGCATGTTCTCTCGTCTTGCCACCGTCGTGTGATATGAAAAGCATGACTAATATTTTTTGCTGTAAGTTACATCATGAGCAGTGGAAGCTCCCTTTCTTACTGTAAATATCGTGAACATTATGTAACTTCACACACACAGGGAAGAATGTGGCCACACCCCTCCCAGTGAAGCAGCTGAGTCCTTGGAGTGAATGACACCTGGGTTAGTTTCACTGTCTTCTTGACTGGATCTGTCACAAGCAACTTTTAAGTCCTACAGCACTTTGCCCTGTTTTCAACATTGGAGTAGACACTGCATACCGGATACCACTGAATTGCTGTAAAAACAGGATGACTAGTTTTCCTTTTAGTTCTTCATAAAATCGAACCTTTGGTTGACAAAATTGGCTGTTGGCATCAGTATAGAAACCAACTGGCAACTTTCCTTGACGAGCTCTTTGACACATGGACACCATTTCATGTCTACAGCTGTTTGGGGGATGTTGGGAAAAAAGTAAAGCTTCAAAATTGAAAAACTAAATTTCAGAAATTAAAACAGAACAAAAATAGCCTTTCTGTTCAGATGGTTTTCAAACTGATTATTAAGAAAAAGAAAGAGATTAACAAGATTATAATGCATTTTGGGTGGGAAATATTTCAAACTTCTGCCTTATACTGTACAATGCAGCTACAGAATTATAGTTCACTATGGCCATTCTCTACATAAACATTAAAATGAAATATTCCTCATAAGCCTTTCATCCTTAGTTTGATAATTAGCCAATATGCAACTTGGAGTTGAGGAAATGTCATTTATATTTTAGATCTCCACCACCACGTTGTTTTCCACCTCCTAGGTAAATGTTCTGCTAGGATTCTGCATCTAGCTCAATCTTACCTTAATGCTTTTTGCCCAGAAAGCTGTCTGTCCATCATGTATATTGTCCATGGCAACAAACTTCATTAAATTGAACCTTTCTGAATTTATGTATTTAATATTAAAATTTGTTGGACTCTAGATATATTTTTAAATTTATATTTTTTCCATTTATGTTCAAGATTTAAAAATTTCATATCAGAGCAAAATATACATAGGAACAAAGGACTATTTAACAGGCTTCCCAAAAAACAGCACTTTCCTGCTTCTCTATCTATAGATGAGAGACTTAGGTGTAAACAGATTTAGACACTTGTTGATAATGTTTTAAAGAAGAAGTTGCTAAGAAGCTCAATCTAGACATTAGTTTTGTTTACTTTTCAGTGATAAAATTATCATTTTACAACATCGTTGTAAAAGTAATGCTTTATGTTTATCTACTGCTATGTACTTGTCAAAATGGTTTCCACATTCTTATCGTCACATTTGAGCCTTATAGAGAAGGTACTAAACACATTTGAGAAATAAAAAATATGAATTAAAGAGGCTCAGTCACCTAGCCTAAGATCTCACGAAAGTTAGTGAGAAAGCCAGAACTAGGACCCATGCTTCTCAACTCCCAGTTATTAAGTTATGCTGCTTCCACACGAGTCAGGAGGAGTCTTTCCAAAATTACTCTGGGCATATCCAGTTATTGTCAGGCAATCTTAGGATTCCCTGTATAAGTAGGGAAGTATGTCCAAATTACTCATGCTGTGATTTAAAACCATTACCTGCTCTCAGTTTTCCTGCAGTGTGCCTCAAATGTGTTGTAGAGGACAGGATTCTACATGCAGTCCAGAGATAATGTTACATGTGGTAGAAATATTCCTAACTCATGATACTTAGCCACCAGAGAACATGATGGAATGAGTAGGTGGCCTCCTGCCTCTGTTCCCTCTCAGAGTTCTGGAATTGTTTGCTAGCACCCTAGAGATGCCACTCTAGAAGTGGATTATACTTCTCACCAGCCTGTACACTATTCTACTAAAGTTACCAGTGGCATCCTAAGAAATTACTGCATTAAGAAAATCCTTACTGTGCCCTTCGAAAAGCTGTTCAAAATTCACTCTTGATGATCTTTCATCTTGACCTCCACAGTGAAACAAACATTTTAGTGTGATAAACTTCAAAATTCTTAAAAAAAATGATCCACTTTTATATTGGACATCTCTACCAGAACCCATTCATTTTTTTTTAAGGCATACATGTTTTCAGGATCAAGAATACTGAGCTAGCTTTAAGTAGCAAACTGATTTATATATGCAACTATAGGATGCATTAAGATGAATGATAGCCTTTACATACTGAAAACTTTACTGCAGATACTTTGTTTTAAAAATAGCTTTGCATACTAAATGCAATTAATTTTATAAAATTAATTATGTTAAGCCGTATGTTCAGACACTTTCTGCCATGGCCAAAAAGTATGTATGAAAGTATGTGTGTATTTTCTGTGAAAGGATGCTAGCGTTTTACCTGATATTGTAGTGACACTTCAGTTATCTATGCATTCTTTGTATCTGTGATTTGGTAAACAGGCAGCCATGTTCACTATGCCTTGTATGTCTTATCATTTTTTTAATTAACCTGTTAAATACAGCTTAAAATATTTTTATTTTATTTATTCTATTTTTACTGAAATATACTGCATTATTGTGTTAATGTATTATCTTTACTGGATATTATCTCTCAGTGTATCCAGGTCTAAGTAATCTCAGTGAACTATACATTGCCTAAAAGGTGGTTTTGTAATGATTTGTAGTCACATTTTTATTGGAATATGTATAAGAAAAGGCAAAATACTTAAAAGTTCCTTTTATTTTTTAAAAGCAGCTAGATAGACACATACTTGCCAACTCACATATGTGCTCCTTGGCCGCGTCAAGGGGAATAGCCAACATGCCTATGGCTAAAAACTTTACTTTGCAAACTTAAAGCACTGCTTGGTGCTTCGTTTTTATATCCTTCGCAACACATGTGAGCTCATCTAAGAGACAGACACGTCCTCCTGCCCTTTGTTTACACCTGGGTATATGATCACCCATAGCTAATTAGGACCATTGTTTTTGTGTCTGTCTTACTGCATGAAGTGACATTAGACCCATTTCCATTAAAATAAGCTCTTGGTGATAAACTGTTGGCACTGCTACTTTTTAAAAAATTCCACTTTATGATTTTATGACGAACATTTGTACAATTCTACACAAGGTCATTTACTAGAAGCCCTAAATCTTTCCTCCTCTTCTTATATGACACACACTCATTTCATAAGCATTGCAGCACAACCTCAAGATTTCATAAACAATGTGAGAAACATCTCCCTAACTGATATTAGCACAGCTTAACTAGTAAAAGCATTAGCTCTCTAGTTTGCCAGGCTCACTTAACCCAATACACAGCTAACGTGTGTTATACAGCCAGTAAAATGAAGTTTATTTCAGCTTCAGGGAAAAGATACTGCTCACACTTTATCAGTGAGAGCACTCCCTGCCATCCAAAGCAGCTTGTTTATCCCAAAAGAACATTTGGTTTTGCTTTCTGCCCCTTTTGCTGTTGACCACTTTTACACATTTAAATGTAATATGTTGTGAGAATAAACTTAGCTGCGTAAAATGTTTGGCTCATTTATCTGACATCAGTCATACATATCCAGGAATAGAAATAAAAGTTTAGTGTCTCCACGCCAGTCATTCTATTTTCAAATTATTCTTATCTCAAATTAAAAGTCATTTTAGTAATGTAAGATTCTGCTTTGATTAGTTATTATATATTTCCACCTGGTAAGAACTAGAAAGTAACTTTAAATTTTGAATAATTCATTGCATGGTCCTTACCTTGGTACTCAGGAAGGACAGCTGGCATTTTGGACATAGAGGCCTATTCAGTCACCAACTTGATGCTTGTGTAAGCACTCTTTCTAGTGTTAAAAAAGTCCATCTTTCCTTGAAGAGCCTGATATCAAAGAATGAAAGATAGAGTTGTACAGGCACTAAATCCAAAATGAAAGGTGACTAGAAAAACAGCAGTTGAACCTGGCTTAGTTTAACTGTTAGACATATGGAAGAAGATAAATAGAATTTAAAGTGTGTACCCATTTTTTGTTCATCTTGCATTTCCCCCAGTAGTTTACTTTTTTCCTCAATCAAAGGCAGTTACTCTCAAAAAGCAAAATTTCATTTGGTTTCAGGTATTACATAGTGGTAAATAATTACACATTAAAAATCTGAATTTGCTATTGGAGTATCTAAAAACCAGTAATTTCATTACTTTAGATTTTTGCAGCACTTTTCTCTAAGAAGCTGAAAAAAGAAAAATGTCAATGTAATCAATATTCTCCTTTACTAGAATTCTCCCATATTGTTTTTAATCCAAAGTATTTCCCTTTTTAGTCTACCAAAATATTTAAATAATTGATCACATCCTTCTTAGAAGATTCCAAAGAAGAAAACTGCAGGCTTAATGAATGAATGGTTTAATTCAGAATCTCCATATACTTAGAAAAATAATTAATTTACGACAGGATTCATGTTATGAGATACTGAAGATAAGGGGCTAAAGTTGTGATGTGACATGAACCACATGCTGCTATAGAGATCAGAAAAATATCCTGAACTATTTCATAACAGTGTGAGTTTTCGTCTTATAATAACTATTAGCAGAAAATAAAAATCTCAGACCTGCTACTTTTGGACAATGGAATACTCTTCAGCCTGGGGCAGAGGAAGGATGTAAGGAAAGGGATAAAAGATCCCTGGGATAAAATATCAGCTCTTTACCGAACAAGTTCAGTTCACCTGCACTGGCCTCCCAGAGGCTCGGAAGGCTCTAAGCCAGAGAGTGGGAATAGGAGGAAACCATACTATAACTTTCATAGCAAATATTATATAGTTTTTGATTTTTGAAAGTAGTAAAATAAGCTGAGCATTTAAAACATTTCTGTATTTTTTAAGAGTCATAATTAACAGAATTCTTTTGGGATTTAAAAATAATAAGTCTGGTTCAAGTATAAAAAGTCATGTTTCCTTTCTTCACTGACATTTTACTAGTAAGTGTAAATCTTCAGGTAAAAAAATTTATTACTGCTAAAATGAAATTCACCCTTTTCTACCCTCACTTTAAGTGAGAAAATTATACAATATTAGAGCTGAAATAGACCTAAATATTCATCTTGAAGAGGATAATAGTCTACTAAAATCATGCCACCTGAATTGAAATTTAGGAATTTATTTAACACTATTCAACACAACTGGATTCTGAAAACACAACTTTAAATTCAAACTCTTTGTGTCTATGAACATGTTTTTAAACAGTAGGATTTACAGTTGTAACATATTTGATTTAATGTCACTTTCTGTTGCCATGATGAAAAAAAAATCAGTAGACCCAGAAATGATAATCATAACCAGTTCTTGGAAGGCAATTGATAATACAGTCAAGATGAACTGACTTTTAATATAATTAAAATAGTGCTACAATATATTTTAATTGAGCATCAGAAATGACTTACCAAAGTTTGATTACTGTGTGCCACTTGAAATGACCATCTCACCTGATCTTTGAATCATAAACTAGTATAGATTTCTTCAACAATTGGGGTGTCACTTGTATTCAGCAGTTTGGCCTCTTCCTCAGAATTACTATTTAGATGGAAATTTGCTTACAGTCACTTTTTTTACAACAGTATTTGGCATAAATAGTTAAAAGGGAGAGCTTATGTTCAGTCTGCTTAGGATCCTAGAGGTTCTTCCAGTGAGAAACAGTTTTCAGTCTGTGAATGGACAGCTGAACTACTCCTCACACCTAGAACTTTGGACCTTCCTGTTCTTCCTATTCATACTCAACCTCAATCACATTACAAAAGCTCATAACATCTCCTATTTTAATGTTTAAGGGGAAAAAAGTCAACCTCTATAGTGATTGAAAATGTTAAACTACAGCTGACTATATACTGAAAAGCAATCTATAGTCCGTGCAAGAGCATCTTTTCCAAACCTATGCTTTCTAAATAAACTGCCTCACAAAGTTAACTTTGAAAAGAAGTCTGTTCTAAGGCACACAGTGTTTCCCTTCAGGAAAAATTGTTGCAACTTTAAAAACAGTGTCCTAAGTCCAGACAGAAAGTTAACAAGAGTGAGACAAGTTCTAACAACCGATACTGAGTCTACAACTGAACGTTCTAAAACAGATCAGCACCCAGCTACTGAACTCTCTGAATTCTGCTTTGCTTAACTCACCTACATTATTCTCACTTGTCTTAATTCACTTGAAGGTAATAATCACATTTAGAAGATACTAAGTGACCAAAAGGATGAGTATTTTGTGTAGGGATGTCTAACCTTCAGAGAAATATCAGACTTTGGAAAAAAACCCTACTACTCTTGACCCCTGTAAAAAACACAAGACAGTCAAAGCCATGGTCGAGGATGCCTGGGTAGAGAGGAAGGTAAGTTTTCTTTAGGTTTTTTCCCTCTTCTTGGTATTGATGGTGTGGGAAGATAGCCAGGCATGACAGTCTTGGGCCCAACCCAACGATAGTAAAAATGTTGAGTTGGTATCTGAGATCTGATCCCTTGGGGACTAGAAAATGGCAACATTACTGGAGGCAAAACAATCTCTATGGGTTTCAGTGCAATCATTCTGTCTTCTGGGCGAGGTCTTACAAAGTTTGTCGTCCGTTCATATGGTCTGGAGGGAGGTGTGTTCTTCATAAATGTAGGCACTAAAGGATTGGTGGTGGGCTTGTTGGATTTTCTGACCTGTGAGGAAGAACCCACTTGATTTGTATTCTTCTGTGGAAGAGATGTTTTTGTTGTTAGTGTCCCTGACTGATGAGCACTTGCGTTAGTTTCTTGACTCAGGAACTCAGCAATTTTCATCTGGATGCGGCTACTATCAGAAGTGGAAGATTTTGGCAATGACATTTTTGACTTTTTCTTCTTCTTCTCACGTTTTGAAGGTTTACCCAACTCGATCCCATCCAGTAGACCCTTTGCTGCAGCACGGGCCAAAACATCTTTCACAGACACTGTCTCAGATGGGTCCCGCTATAATTAAATGTGGGAGTTAACTGTTACTGTGCATATTACAAATATTTATCAGTGTTTCAGTAAAGATAAAAGAATATCTTTGTTATACTAAAAGAAATAGTTTTTAGACCTTAGTCTCTAATATATCCTATAAGCCTCAGGAAATTACTTTCTTTGTACTTAAATCTCCCCATTTGTGAACCTGATAGAAAAAAAGAAAAAGAATTACAGAGCTTCTTTCTTTTTTTGAATTTTTAAAATTAATTTTTTTATACAGCAGGTTCTTATTAGTTATCTATTTTATACATATTAGTGTATATATGTCCAGAGCTTATCTCATATCTGTGAGCTAAAATGAACTGGATATTGACAAAGTGCTTGGAGAAGTGGGGGTGGAGAACAGGCAACGGAAAAACACTCAGGAGGACAATAAAGATAAAAATAGGGATTTCCGCCATACAATAATAATTGTTTTTCCTGCCCTTTAGCTATTTATGAAATAAGCATACCATTATGAAATGCTCATAAAGTTCCTATATTCCTATTATGAGACTTTGTTGTTTCTTAATTCCTAAGTATGAAATGGACTGGGATTTTTTTATCCTTACCTCCCTTGTTAGAACCGAAAGAAAACAACCGTTGGTAATTTCAGATGGTTCCATTCTGAAAAATTTGTCAGTGGACAAATGTATTTCCTTTAAGGAGCACAGTGGAAGGACAGGGGGACTAAGCCTGCAATAGGTAACAGCAAACAATTAACAGAATGTCTTATTTGCCAATGGAGGGAGACAGTAAATTGCAACCAATTTTCTTTTATTATGTTTTACCCATTATTTAAACAAAAATTCCAAATAAGAATAAAATGTCAAGGGGAGGGATCAAGATGGTGGAGTAGTAGGATGTGGAGCTAACCTCCTCCCACAAATACATCAAAGATACATCTACAGGGCTTCCCTGGTGGCGCAGTGGTTGAGAATCTGCCTGCCAATGCAGGGGACACGGGTTCGAGCCCTGGTCTGGGAGGATCCCACATGCCACAGAGCAACTGGGCCCGTGAGCCACAACTACTGAGCCTGTGCATCTGGAGCCTGTGCTCTGACAAGAGAGGCCGCGACAGTGAGAGGCCCGTGCACCGTGATGAAGAGTGGCCCCCACTCGCCACAACTAGAGAAAGCCCTTGCACAGAAACAAAGACCCAACACAGCCATAAATAAATAAATAAATGTATTTTTTTAAAAAGTACATCTACATGTGGAACGATTCTCAGAACACCTACTGAACCCTGGCAGAAGACCTCAGACTTCTGAGAGGGCAATAAAATCTCCACATAATCAGGTAGGACAAAAGAAAAAAGAAAAAAGGGAGAAAGGAATCAGGACAGGACCCTGCGCCCCTGGGAGGGAACTGTGAAAGAGGAAAGGTTCCGGCACCCTGTGAAGTCCCCTCACCAGTGGGGAGATCAGCTGGGACGGAGGGGGAGCTTTGGAGCCTCAGAAGAGAGCACAGAACTGGTGTGCAGCAGGCAGAATGGAAAGAGACCTGCAGAGACGGTCAGTATCACAGCGTTGCACTCCCCAGCCTGAGATGTGCGTCCACGAGTGTGGGCGGGGGCTGGGAGCTGAAGCTTGGGCTTCGGAGGTCAGACCTGGGGTGAAGACTGGGGTTGGCTGTGGGGAAACAGCCTGAAGGGGCTGGATTTTGGTATGACTGAAACCAAGGGTGTACACAGAGGAAGCCCAGGCTCACCATAGAGGCAAGGTGCCACTGTTGAGGGCACGCGAGGGGAGGGGCGGGACCTGCCATAGCAGCCTCCTTCCCTGCACATGCACTCTAAGGTGACAGGACACTGCCTGCACGAGCTCCAGGAGCAGGCACCAACCACTGCTGTGGGCTCAGGGGTGGGCATGAGCCACCAATGCCATTGCAGGCTCCAGGGGCACGAGTGCGCCACCACCACACCGAGAGCTCTGGGAGCGGGTGCCAGCTGCCACCTTTGCGGGCTCTGGGAGAGAACGCCAGCCACTGCTTCTGCACACCCCCTATCAATGGGATAACAGCCAGCACACACTGAGGAAAGAGACAGCAGGCATCCATACTAAAAACAACGCTTACACCAAAAATATTAAAACCACACAAGCTACACAGGGCTGCTCCTACATCTAAACAGCCCTCCAAGACCACAGTAGATAAGTGTTTCTCCTAAACTCACAGAGTAAGGGAAATATAAGTAAAACAAAGAAGCAGAGGGACCACTCCCAGTTAAAAGACCAAGAGAATTTCCCTGAAAGAACAAACAATGAAATAGACCTCTTCAGTCTAACAGACACTGAGTTCAAAAAGGAGATAATGAAAATACTGAAGGAATTAAGAAAGTTTATCAACAGAAATGCAGAATACTGTAAAAAGGAGCTAGAAACTATAAAGAGGGGCCAAGAAAAATTAAAAACTCATTTGCTGAGATGAAAGCTGAGCTAAAGGCAATGAACAGCAGAATGAATAAAGCAGAAGAACAAATAAGTCATCTGGAAGATAGAATGATGAAAATCACCCAATCAGAACAGCAGATAGAAAGGCAAATTAAGGGCTTCCCTGGTGGCGCAGTGGTTGAGAGTCCGCCTGCCGATGCAGGGGACACGGGCTCGTGCCCCGGTCTGGGAAGATCCCACATGCCGCGGAGCGGCTGGGCCCATGAGCCATGGCCGCTGAGCCTGCACGTCCGGAGCCTGTGCTCCACAACGGGAGAGGCCACAACAGTGAGAGGCCCTCGTACTGCAAAAAAAAAAAAAAAAAGAAAGGCAAATTAAAAAAAAAAAAGGAAGCAATATAAGACATGTATGGGATAATATAAAGCTTGCCAATCTACCCATAATAGGGATTCCAGAGGAGAAGACAGAGAAAAGGGGATCGAAAATGAATTTGAAGAAATTATGGCTGAAAAATTCTCAAACCTAAAGAAGGAAACATAAATCCAGATACTGTTAGGAGAGTCCCAAACAAGATGAACCCAAACAGACCTACACCAAGACATATTGTAATTAAAATGGCGAAAGTTAAAGAGAGGATTCTGAAGGCAGCAAGAGAAAAACAAAGTGTTAGTTACAAGGGAACCCCCATAAGGCTATCAGCTGATTTCTCTACAGAAATGTTACCGTACAGAAGGGAGTGGCAAGATATATTCAAATTCCTAAAAGGGAAAAATATGCAACCTAGAATACTATACCCAGCAAGATTATCATTTAGAATAGAAGGAGAGACAAAGAATTTCTCAGATAAGCAAAAACTAAAAGAATACAGCAAGACTAAACCTATCCTAAAATAAGTATTGAAAGGTCTTCTCTAAATAGAAGAGAAGCAAGAATGTATAGAAAAGAGAAAATCACAATTGGAAAGGACTAGGACTTCCAATACTATGTTGAGTAGAAGTGGTGAGAGTGGGCATCCTTGTCTTGTTCCAGATTTTAGCAGGAATGCTTTCAGTGCTTCCTGCTAAATGGCATCGGTGCCATTTATGGCATCAGTGGCTTATTTAAATCACTTAAGTCAGTACACAGATTTTTTAAAAAATCAAAACATTTTTGTGAATGATGACAATGAACAGCAAAAGGATAAACATGAAGATGTAAAAGAGGACATCGAAATCATAAAATGTGGGGAAGGAAAGTAAGAAAATTTAGATTCTTTTTTTTTTTCAGAATGTGTTTGAGCCTATATGACTATCAGTCTAAAGCAAGTAGATATAGGAAGGGGTTAACATACTTGAAAAACAGAATAACCACAAATCAAAAACACACAATAGATTCAAAAAAACCAAAAAGAACACAAGCATAAAATAAAAGGAAATCATCAAACCACAAAAAGCAAAACAAGGAAAAAGAAAGGAACAAAGAAACACAGAATCAACTGGTAAACAAGGTTTAAAATGGCAATAAATACGTATCTATCAATAATTACCTTAAATGTCAATGGACTAAATGCTCCAATCAAAAGACACAGAGTGGTGGATTGGATTAAAAAATGAAAGCCTACAATATGCTGCCTACAAGAGACCCACTTTAGGGCAGGAGACACACATAGACTGAAAGTGAGGGGATGGAAAAAGATATTTCATGCAAACAAAAATGACAAGCGGGGGTCACAATACTCATATCAGACAAAACAGACTTCAAAACAAAGGCCATAAAGAAAGATAAAGATATATTACTATATAATGATAAAAGGATCAATACAAGAAGAGAATTTTACACTCATTAACATATATGCACCTAATACAGAAGCACCCAAATATATAAAACAAATACTAACAGACATAAAGGGAGAAATTGACAGGAATACAGTAATAGTAGGAGACTTTAACATCCCACTCATATCAATGGAAATATCTTCTAGACAGAAAATCAATACGGCAACACAGATCCTAAATGATAAAATTGAAGTTAGACTTAACTGATATTTTCAGGACATGACAACTAAAAAAAACCAGAATACACATTCTTTTCAAGTGCACATGGAACATTCTCTAGGGCTGACCATATACTAGGGCACAAAACAAGCCTCAACAAATTGAAGAGTATAGAAATTATCTCAAACATCTTTTCTGACCACAATGGCATGAAACTATAAATCAACCACAGAAAAAGAAATGAGAAAAAAACGACTACATGGAGACTAAACAACATGCTATTAAAAAACCAGTGGGTCAATGACAAAATCAAAGAGGAAATTAAAAAATACCTTGAGACAAATGACAAAGAAAACACAACCAAACAAAATCTATAGGATGCAGCAAAAACAGTTCTTAGAAGTTCATAGTGATACAGGCCTTCCTCAAGAAACAACAAAAACCTCAAATAAACAACCTAACCTACCACCTAAAAGAATTACAAAAAGAACAAACAAAACATAAAGTCAGCAGAAGGAAGGAAATAATAAAGATCAGAGAGGAAATAAATAAAATAGAGATTACAAAACTACAGAAAAAAAAAATAAAACCAAGAGCTGGTTTGCTGAAAGGGTAAACAAAATTGACAAACCTCTGAACAGGCTCACCAAGAAGAAAAGAGAGAGAACCCAAATAAACAAAATAAGAAATGAAAAAGGAGGGACTTTCCTGGTGGTGTAGTGGTTAAGAATCCACCTGCCAATGCAGGCGGCATGAGTTCGATCCCTGGTCTGGGAAGATCCCACTTGCCACGGAGCAACTAAGCCCGTGCGCCACAACTACTGAGCCTGCGCTCTACAGCCTGCGAGCCACAACTACTGAAGTCCGTGTGCCTAGAGCCCATGCTCCTCAACAAGAGAAGCCACCACAATGAGAAACCCATGCACTGCAACAAAGAGTGGCCCCCGCTCGCTGCAACTAGAGAAGGCCCGCACGCAGCAACAAAGACCCAACACAGCCAAAAATAAATAACAAAATAAAAATAAATAAATTTTTTTTAAAAAAAGAAATGAAAAAGGAGAAATCTCAACTGATACCACAGAAATACAAAAAAAAAAAAAAAGAAAAAAAACAGAGAATACTGTGAAAATTATATGCCAACAAATTCAACAACCTAGAAGAAATGGACAAGTTTTTAGAAACATAGAGCCCACTAAAACTGAATCAAGAAGAAACAGATAATTTGAACAGACTGACCTCTAGAAGTGAAATAGAACCTGTAATTTTAAAACCCTCTACAAACAAAAGTCCAGGACCAGATGGCTTCACAGGCAAATTCTACCAAATATACAAA